TGTGTTGAGCACTGTGGAAACAGCAAGGCACCCCTGGGGCATTCATTCTGTTCTGGAAGATCACGAATGGGCTTTTGATGGGACCAGAAGGGAGGCCACACAGGTCCTTGGGCAGAACTTCTTCACCTTCAAGACCTGATGCTTCTGACCCTTTCACACGGCTCCTAGGCCCAGGTGAATGCTATCTCTGGGGTACTTAGAAGCCCCAGTGAGAAGGACTAGACCTCCCTGGTCAACTCCTTGCTCTGTCCCACACTTCCGTAGTGGGAGGTTTCAGTCCCTACCTGAGGCCCAGTGGGTCAGTTGTGCCATGTCAGGATAGGACACTGAAGGATTTTCACAGGTTCGGGGCTCCCAAAGTGTTCTTCCACGTAGCCACAGGACCCCTGAAGGAGATAAGCAATTTTCTTGGCCTCCTCTGCCATGCACTGCCATCTTGGTGTGAGAACACCGAGGCCCTAGTGCCAGCACCCAGCAGGCTGGGGGAGCTGCAGCATGCACCTCGAAGGATATCGTGGGAAGATGCCCCGGCAGTGTGACCTGGATGGTACTTCGGCTTGTCTAAATCTGTGAGTGGGGTGGGTTTCAGGAAGCCTCTGACAGGGCCCCAGTGACTAAAGGAACAGGCACGTGAGAACTGTAATTGCCTAGTAAACACAAGCTGGTCCATTGATCTGTTTCAGGCCCATTACGGCCAGCTGGGGGAAGGATGGAGGTGATGGATTAGGGGTTTCCCCAGGCAGGATCTCCCTGGCAGCTTTTCCAGAAAGATGCTGCCTGAAGGGTATCAAACCAGTTCAGCATCCTACAGATCTCCAGGACCTGCTGGAGGCATCACTGGTCAGCTGGTTCCCAGGTAAGGCATGTGAGTCACGACTCAAGTCATGTGTGGTGGGATGGGCAGCCTGGCTAGGACTGGAGGCCCTGGATATGCTAGCGGTGCAGACCAGGGGAGAATTCAGGCTGAAAGATTCTTTCTTCTTTTTTTAATGGTGGGAAAATGCACAACCCAAGGCATAGAGAAACAAAACCGTGGCAGGTTGTCCACTCATTATCAGTAGTTAATGCTGTGTGACTGTACAGCAGTTTCATTTTTCTCTCTCTATTTCTGAATCCACTAGACCTCTAAAAGGAGATATATGTTCTTTAAGATCAAATGAAATGGCTAAAAGGACTTTCTTGAGCTCTAGGAGAAAAAATCCCATGTCAGCATCCAGGGAGAAAGTTAGGACTTGGAGTTGCTAGTCCAAGGTAGCAGTTAGTTAGGAGTTAGGACCAGATTTTGCTAGTCATGATCTTTTTGCCAAGATACCTAGAGTCCTAGTCTGCACTTGGACCTCACATCTGTCTCACAGATACATGGGTATGCAGGGATGATTGCCTGGAATAAGGGGGGCGGCGATGGGGAAGGAGCAGGAACCAAGCGAGGACTCTCTCTTCAGGATGTTGGGGCTCCAGGCTCTCCCGCTGTGGGTCCCTCTTCCTTCTGCTGGGTTCCCTCTGCCATCTGCCTCTCCAGCAACCCACCTTCGGCTGCTCTAATAGAAGCCGATAGTCCCCATCTAGTCCCATTACCACCCACACAGAGAAGTGGGCTGCAATTCCAAGAGCTGTTGGGAGGCTGCTGGCCAGCTCTTGGGTCATCCATTGTTCTGAATGTCACTGGGCCTGTGGCTGCAATTACAAGCTTATTCAGCTCCCAGAGCACAACCCTGTCATCACAGTAGTGAGGAGGAGGAGGTAGGGAGGGGCCAGGACCAGGTTTGTGTCCATGCCCTCCCCCCACCAGCCAGGGGTGGGGGGGGAGAGGGAGAGCCTTGCACATAGCTGCTGTTTCCTGCCTGGCCACAGCAATGCTAAGTCAGGGCTCCTCTAGGTCTCCAAGCACCCACTTGACGGTTTACTTCCCTGGCTGGCAGGCACAGGTTGTATGCCTGAACAGTGTGGGAGTCAATCTCATTGGTGCCCACTATAATCCTGCCTCTTCTTCTCGTTCTGCACCCTCTGCCAGTCCACGAGTGCTCCTGTGCATCTGACTCCTCGGTGCCTGTCCCTGGCCTCCCCTCCACAGACAAGCTCACAGACGTACTCAGTTTCGGTTGTACCTCTCCAACAAGCAGCACTGGCAGGCTCCAGGCTCGAGGGTTGTCCCTGACACAGCTACCAGCTGCTTCTCTGGAGTCCCGGGGAAGCTTCTTCTTCCTTCCTTCCCTATGACTGGGATCCTCTGCTTCTTTGGGAGCCAGTGGGGATCCCTCCAGACCCCTGTGGCTTTCTGTCTAGTGTTGGCCTCAGGCTCACACAACTGGGCAGATAGGTAAACTGCTCTTGCATCTCCTAGGACAAGAGCCCAGGGACTAAGAAACAGATCGGTCCCCGACTCACCCCTGCAGTATGGAGTGGGGTATGGGGGGGGTGAGGGGGGAGAATGAGTTGCTACCAACTTGTGTTGACCTTGACCTCAGCTGGAAAGCAGAGGAAGAAGAGGAGGAGCTTCCAGAATCGACTAGAAGATCTTGTTTACTGGTTTTGGGTCCTCTGTTACACCAAGTCTTCTGTAGAGACCAGCTGGTTTATCTCCACAGGTCCTCTGGAGACGACAGAGCTGGTAGGAAACCAGTCTGGCTATGGATTTTAGGGGTTGGCCTGATCCCCCTGTGCTAGACTCTCTGCCTGGCCTTTGACTTTCACTCAGCCTTCTCTGGAAGTTCAGTATGTTGTCTGTGAGGTGTGTTGCCTGGTCCTGGAAAAGGGATAAAGGCTATGCGGGGATCAGTGACAGGGTCAGGAACAGATGCTGGGAGTCTAACAGAGAAAACTTGTGGTAGTTTGGAGTGTCCCCAGAAACCAGCAACAGACAGACAAGTTGACACATTAATCGTTGAGTAGTCCTCCCAAAGGATCCAAGAAGCTGTTATCTTATCAGATCGATAGATAAAGCAGACTATAGGAAACTATAAACCAGACAGACAGGGGTAGAGCTGAAATCAGGAGATAGTCCACTGACCTGGGATGACTGCTGGTCCGCGCAGAAAGGGCAGGACCTGAGAGTGCTCCTGGGACATTCCTGAGAGCTTCCCACCTTCTTCCTCTGGGATATCCAGTCTCTAAGTCTATTGTCTGAGCTTCCAGAAAAGACCCAGCAAACTTTCTGGGAAATAAGAGATGGGTTTTCCTAGTATCTACTCCAAGCCTTGAAAACAACCTTCAGTTTTTGCAGGGGTACTGAACCCCTTCCTGCTGCTGCTGCTGGACATGGTGCCCCAGGGGAGCCATGTAGCAGAACACGGAAGAGCATGAGGGTGGAAGGGAGGCAGGGAAGAGTCTGCCACACCTGGGCCTCAATGTCCCTTTTCAACCTCACCAAGGAAGCCCTGTCCTTAGACGGTACCAGCACAGTGTTCACGGAAAACCCAGATGACTGCCGGGGTGGGAGGCACCCTCCTCCTCTGCTGACCCAACAGGGACAGTCCACAGGAAGAAGTCAGAGCCCTCTGTCTTGTGCCACCCGTGTGCCCCCCGAACTCTGCTCTGTTTTCTCTTTGGTGTTATCCCTAATGCTCTGCTGGATGGGGCAAAGGGTTCTCAAGGATCCAAATGAGCCTTGTGGGTCTTATACCCCTGGACTTGGCCCCAAATGTGGCAGAGACCTTGCAAACCCAGGTATACTTGGCCCTACCCCTTATCTCCCCTACTCCAGCCTGGCTAGCTTCAGGGAACCCCTCCTCTAAGCCTTGGATTTAAGGACCCTGACTAAGTAGCCCTCTGTTGGTCCCACCTCCCCTCGTCTCTGCCTTTTTCCCAGTGGCCTCCTCTTGAGTAGCAATGCCTTTCCGTGTGTGTGTGTGTGTGTGTGTGTGCATGAGCACGTGCACATGTGCATGTGTGTACCTTTTTATATTCCTCATTGTTTCCCAACGAAAGAAAGGGGACACAATCATAGAATCATCCAATCTCAAATGTGAAAATGGTAAGTATTGGGAGTTTAAGACCCCAAGTTCAAGCCCAGGTGTGGGTCTTTGTTCTGTGACTGTCCGTGACTCATCTGACCTCACTGTCCACTCACTGGCAACAGGGAGGGTCACCTGCCAGCTCTGCCTCACTGAGCGACTCGGAGTTCAGTGATGTTACATGTAAGTGCTCCTTTCTAGGCAGACCCACCATTACTAAACGGATGAGGAGCCCGCGGGCCGGGGTGTCAAAGAGCTCAGGTAATTCCTACGTCTGGAGACTGGAGATGGGGCCAGAACACAAGTGTTGTGAAGGGAAGAGAAATGCAAGGAGAGAGATCGGCAGAGACGGAGAGAAGAGCAGAGCTGGGAGGAGGCGAGAGTGATGGGTGAGGAGAAAGGCCACTAAAAAAGCACAAGGCGGGAGGGAGCGAGAAAACAGAGGGGCCGGTGTGGTGAAAGCACAGCGACCACAAGGACCATGAGGCCATGGAAGGCATGAGGGACTGTGATTGGCTTAGACAGAATGAGGACAGCACAGGGCAGTGACACCAAGCCCCACTGTGTCACCACTGCTCTTGTTCTCTGGGTTGTCAGCCAGCTCAGTGAGGGCTGAGAAATCCTTAAAATTAAAGCCAGTCTCCTTGGCCCCTTTTTGGAAGGAGAAAGATTGGGAAAAAAAAAAACCCGAATCTGCCACAGGAAGGCCAGGCAGTGTGCACCCGTTGAGCATCCGCTGAGCCCAGCCCCCCTATCGCAAGGAATACACATAAATGTAGAGTCAAATTCATCTCTCTTCTTTGCCAAATCCATAATTTACACAAGATGCTCAGAACATGGCTGGGATTAGAGCAATGGGGTATGATGACCTTGAAAAGCAGGAATCACTCACGTAGGGCCAGAGGAAGGGAAGAGGGATGGGAGGATGGGGAGGCAGAGAAAAGCAAACAGACCACACAAGACTAGCAAGAGGCCAAAGCAGCTAGTGTTCGATGCTGGGCTCAGAGAGGAAGGAGATTGGCAGGGGAGGGAGGAAGGTCCAGTTCGCACCTTTGGGAAGCCAGGTCGGAGCAGGCAGGCTTTTGCTCGGTGTCAGCAGCAGGACAGCAGAATTGGTGCAGCACGGTCTCATTCCTGCGGGCAGAGAGGGGAGGAGGTCAGAAGGTAAGGCAGGCTGAGCCAACTCTGAGGACCCCTCAGCATCTTACCCCAAACCTGGCTGCCCTCTCCCTGCCTGCAACCCCCAGTGCCACGCCCAGGTGGCCACACACTGCTCTGGAGGAGTGTGCTGAACACATTTTTGTCCATCCAGGCTTTCTTGATTGTTCGTGGGACAATTGAAACGCCGGCCCAGAGCACAGCCTGCCGGGTTTCCTGCTCTTGTGCTGCAGTGAGCGTCCCTGCAGGAAGCTCCTACCTGCGAGTCTCCGTTCATAGAAATGCCTTTTATCCAAGTTCGTTCTTCATGACCCCGCTCCTTAGAAGTTCTGTGAGGCAGAACAAGGTCTAGACACCTGTGACTTGAGGACTCAGCCTCCATACAAAGCCCACCATGCACAAAGCCTCCTGGCATTCAGGCAGCCATTCCCATCAACTCCTGGAGGTTCAGGGATGTAATCAAGACGGAGAAGAGGAAGTGAAAGTGTGGCTTCTAGCTGGAACTCTGGATGGCCATTGAGACAACTTTCACGTTACTGACGGGGTTGAACTGGAGAAGCAGCTCTCAGCCCTAGCTGCCTGTTAGAGTCACCAGATTTTAAAATATACCAGTGCCTAGACCCTGCGCCCCAGGGACTCTGAGTCACGTGGTCTGGCAGAAGTTCAAACACCAGGGCTCATTCTAAACTCCAGGCTGCCAAGGTCCCTTCCCTGCTACCACACTGTGATTCTGATACCCGATGTGCGCCAAGCTCTAGCTAAGACTACATTGTAGGGTGAAGTTACCCAGCCCTGTTGTCAACATTCCCTTCTTACGTCAGAGAATACCAGGCTTAGAAGGATCCTGGGTCACCTGAAAGAGGCTTTTGGACTTCCTTTACGCCCAGAGTACCTTGTCCAAACCAGAGCTTCCCTTAAAGCACATTTTGTAGAATAACAAAGGGGGAACAGTGATGTCACTGGGGAGGCGAAATTCTGTCCCACTTCGCAGACCTCCCAGGCACCTCTTAAGAGTCACTGAGTCAGCCGGGCAGTGGTGGCACGCTCCTTTAATTTCAGCACTTGGGAGGCAGAGGCAGGAGGATCTCTGTGAGTTCTAGGCCAGCCTGGTCTACAAGAGCTAGTTCCAGAACAGGCTCTAAAGTTACAGAGAACCTGTCTCAGGGGTTGCGGGGGGGGGGGTTCCTGAATCCTGAGACCAGAGATTTATATAGCATACAAAGTTCAGCTATATCCATAAAAGAAAGTAATGCTGGGGCCTATGTTAAGTAGATAGTTACAGAGAGGGTATATGTTTAGGTAAGAAAAGAATGAGAAGGAAACAAAATTATATAACTTATAAGCTGGGAAATGTTTTTGAACAAAACAGAGTATAGGGATGCCATTAAGAAAAAGATATCCTGGCACTGTGGTGATGTGGGAGTGTCATATATCAATCTGTTGATTTCATTGGTTAAGTTATAATAAACCAGCTGCTTGGCCTCATGGCTTGGAACATAGATGGGAGGAGTAAACAGAATAGAATTCTGGGCGGAAGAGGAAGTGGGGTCAGACTCTGCTCTGCTCCCGGAGAGACCCGTCAGCTCTGCTGGAGCAGAGACGCCATGCTCAGCTCTCCCGGGTAGACGCGATAGCTCTGCTCTCTGAGGCACACGTGATGAAGATGGATGTAGGCTAGAATCTTCCCGGTAAGCGCACCTTGGGGTGCTTACACACATTATTAGAAATGGGCTAGTCCAGGTGCGAGAATTAGCCTGTAAGGGCTAGAGTTCATGGGCCAAGCAGTTCTTTAAATGAATACAGTTTGTGTGTTGTTATTTCGGGCATGAGCTAGCCAAGCGGCCGGGGTGTTGGGGACGCAGCCCCGCCGCTCCTATTTCAACACTGTGGTTTATAGGAGGCTGAGGCAGAAGGATGTGTTTGAGGTCAACCTGGGCTACATAACATGTTCCAAGCTGGCTGGTGCTATGTGGTGAGACCCTATAGCTATAAAACAATGCTACTATAAGTCAAAGGCAATAGACTGGGGAGGAGTATTTTACCACATATAGCAGAAGGCATGAAAGTTTGAGTCTAATGTTCCCCATGGGCTCCTGTGTTTGAACACTTGGTCAAACTGGTTATGCTCTTTGGGAAGGGGCGGTTGTTGAACCTGTAGGATAGGAGATATGGCTGATAGAGCTGGGTACCTAGGAGCTCTCTCTGGTCCCGTCTCTTTTTCCTGAGCTTCAAGCATATATATAAAGCCACACTGCAAACTTACACTACCACAAACCAGTGGTTCCCACCACCATGGTCTAAGCTGCTCCAGCCACCATGTCTTCCCTGCCATGTTGGACTGTGAACTTTAAAACTGTGAGCCACGATAAACCTCTTGCACCTCAAGTTGCTTTTCTCAGCTATTCTGTCAATTGGTATTCTTCTTACACTGAGCTTCAATATACCCTCATTGAAAAGACAACCCCAAGAGAGAAAAATGTGGAAATAATCATGGATAGAAGAGAAAATCTAAAGAGCCAATAGATATATAAAGAGATGTTCCGCATAACTTCTAGCCAGGAAAATGCAAATTAAGGTAGCACGGAGGTACCATAGCTCATCCATCAGATGAGCAAACACTAAGAAGATGCCTAAATGCTGGTGTTATTGAGGCTGTGGAAGATGAGGGTGGGTGGCTCTCAGTTCTGCCTGAGTAGGTATAAATTCTTATAGCTGCTTTGGTGAATAAAAAGGATATACCTTTCTATCCAGAAATACAACTTCTGGGATTTTATACTTGCAGCGATGCATTTATTCTGAATGTTTAAGGGAGTACTGCTTTTTGGGGAAGAAAGAAAAGCTAGAAACAACAGCAGTCCCCAGGCAGCAAGGGATGGATAAGACGGTGAGACCTTCATCCATACCTTGTAATTACCCGCCTGTCCAAAAGAATCAGCACTTATCTCTTGGTAGATGGAGGTTCACACTCATGGCTAAATGAGAACATCTGGCACAGGGGAAAGTATAGAGCACAATCCCGACTTAGTAAGGAGCAGCGACCTCCTCTCTGAGCTCGGCAGTTTTTTGTCAACTTTATACAGCCAGGGTCATCTGGGAAGAGGAAGCGTCAATTGAGAACGTCCTTCATTTGATTGGCCTTTAGGGAGTCTGTGGGGGCATTTTCCTGATTAATCATGGATGAGGGAGGACCCAGGTTACTGTGGCAGTGCCGCTCCTGGGCAGGTGGTCCTGGGTTGTGTAAAGGAGCAAATTGAGCAAGCTATAAGAAGCAAGCTAGGGCACAGTGTTCCCTGGTTCCTCTGTGGTCTCTGCATCAGGCCCTGCCTCCGGGTTCCTTTCTGAGCTCCTGTTCTGACTTCCCTCGGTGATGGACTGTGATGTGGAAGTGTAAGCCAGACAAGCCCTTTCTTTCTCAAGTTGCTTTTGCTCGTGGTGTTTATCACAGCACTAGAATTTAAACCAGGACATCCCCCAAATGTGAATTCGAATTCGACATGTGTGTATTTCCTGGTTTAAGAGTGCAAATTAAGCTGTTAACTTTGATTACTGCAGTAGATGAAGCTGGGGGAAAAAAGAGGTCAGAAGTAGAAGGGGAAAAGCAATGCTTGGTGTAGCAGTAACCAAGAAAGTCAAATATAAATTTGTGCTTAGGCTATCTATTACTGTAAATTCATTATAGCAAATACATGCTTGGATGGGAATAGAGAATATTAGAAACCAACACAAATACTGATGCCATTTCAGGAATCACATATAGTTTTTACATTGAATTGTCTAATTTAAAAGATTGTCAATTCTTAGTTATAACTTATGACTAAAGATTAAGAATTCAACAAATATGACCTTGTAAAAGGTTGAGGTTTGAGGGCATAGTCAACAAGAGAATAAAGGCTAAGCGTATACCAGACCATGGATTCAGTATCTAATATGGACAAAAAATGAATAAAAGGTCAACAAAGAAAATAACGAGGGCTGGGATGGTAGCTCAGCAGTGAGGTGCTCCCCACCCAAACACGAGGACTTGTGTTCAGTTGCCTTCCCAGCATTCCTAATAGTTGTAACTTTCAACTGGGCAGTAATAGCACACACCTTTAATCCCAGCACTTGCAAGGCAGAGGCAGGTGGATGTCTTTGAGTTTGAGGCCAGCGGCTGGATCTATAGAGCGAGTTCCTGGAGATCAAGGACCATTGAATGGAGAAATCTTGTCTTGAAAAACCAAACCAAACCAAACCAAAAACAAAACAAAACAAAAAACTGTGAGTCCAGCAGTGGGGGCACAAAAATAGGAGTATCACTGGCAACTCACTGGCCATCCAGTCAAGGTTCCATCAGAGGACCTGATTCAGAAAAATGGATAGAGATATGTAGTATTAACCTTTCTCTCTCTCCTTTCTTTTTCCTTTTTTTTTTTTAAAGTTTAGTGGCTTTATTCATAACTCAAAAGTTTGAAACAATTCAGTTGCAAATGACTTTTATTTACTTTTTATTTTATTTATTTATTTATTAAAGATTTCTGCCTCCTCCCCGCCACCGCCTCCCATTTCCATCCCCCTCCCCCAATCAAGTCCCCCTCCCTCATCAGCCCGAGGGTTTCTCTGTAGTTTTGGAGCCTGTCCTGGAACTAGCTCTTATAGACCAAGCTGGCCTTGAACTCAAAGAGATCAGTCTGCCTCTGCCTCCCCAAGTGCTGGGAATAAAGGTGTGCACCACCACTGCCTGCCCAATCTCTGACTTCTACATGCACATGATGTACACACACGTATGAACACATACCCACCTACAGAGAGAGAGGAGTAGAGGAGGAAGAATAATAATGAGGAAAAATACATGTCTGACTCTAACCTCTCATATTTGCGGATGAGAACTGAGGCCCAGAATGGAGAGATGGTGTGTGTACCACTGTCTTAGGAACAGTCTTCCAGCTTCCTCTACTCCCTCCTCCCCAACATATAAAAGTAGCAAATGCTTTTCATTT